CAGGGGGTAAGGCATGGAATGGGAGTGGGTGCAGAACTGGTAAGGAAGGGCCTGGAGATATCAATAATTATATCAGTAATATATATAATAATGTAGCAATACCAAAAATATCAGTGCTAACACCAGTGCCTACGTTGGGCACAGCAAGGAAGGCTTGGGCCACACTACGTGGCCACTTCTCTTCCCTCTCCGTCCCCTTCCATCTTGGTCCTTTCCCTCTCTCCTTTCCAGTTTCCCCTCCATATCCCTGCCTCTCTCTCTACATCATTCCACCCTCTACTATTTTTTAAACTGATGAGCAATGAATGCTGGGGTAGGCACCCTTGTCCCAGAAGGTGCCTGTTCCCCTGGGATACAGTGCTCCGTGCAGAGTTCTGGGTGACAAGGGGGGGTTTCCCTCACTTCTCCCGTCCCCTCCCCTAGTCAAGCCTGACACTGCAAGCTCGGATCCCCGGAGCCTCCAGGGAGCCCCAGGCAGAAGATGGGTCCACAGAGCGAGGTACACTTCAAGCCCCTCCCCCAGGACTTGAACATGTGCCCCCATTGGGGTCTTTCTGTTCTTGTACTATTAGTTCCAAATGAAGGGTGCAAACACAAAGTGCTGGTGCTCAGGAGTGGTTTCTGGGTTATTTCTCTCCCTATCCACAGGTAAGCATCTCTTTTATCAGTGCCACCTCTCACTCTGACGTTTCAAAAGTCTTTACCGAGCCCTACAATGTCACCTTCTCTTTCTCTTCTGCATTGTTTGTCTCTTGCCTCTGTGTGCCTTTACTTTTCACTTCTCCTCTTAGCCCTTAGGGCCTTCGAGACCATAATTAATCCCAAAGTAAACTTGGTTTCATGTCAGCATTAAGCAATGATTGTTCCCTCAGAAGGTACACCCTAGGCAAAACTCAACAAAACTCAACTGGGGGAAAGGTGCTCCTTCTCATGTGGTGCTCCCACCCCTGACCCGGTCCCCACCAGCCCCTCCACTCCTAGAACTTACCCATGGATTCCTTCTATTCTTTCATCATAACTTTGGGCCAGAAAACATTCTTCTTTACGCAGAGGGTGCTCTCCTACCCAGTGTGCTCCTGCTTCTGCTGACGCGGCTCCGTGCATTTGTAATCCCCCTGTAGTAGTCTGCTGGGGCTGCCATAGCAAAGTACCACTGACAGAGGGGCTTCAACACCAGACATTGATTCTCTCGCAGTTCTGGAGGCTGGATGTCTGAGGTCAAGGTTCTGCAGGCTTCTTTCTTCTGTAGCCTCCTTCCTTGGCTTGCAGATGGCCGCCTTCCCCCAGCGTCTACACATCACCTTCCCTCTGTGTGTCTGTGTCCTAATCTCCCTTTTTTCTCAGGACACAGATTGGATCAGGGCCCACCCCAATGACCTCATTTAACCTAAACTGCCTCTTTAAAGATCCTTTGTCCAAATGCAGCTATATTCTGAAGTCTTGGGGACTAGGGCTTCAAGAGATGAAATGGGGGGGGGGGGGGGAGAGTAGGGGAATTTAGCTCCTAACACTTTCCTCCCCACTCTGTCCTTTCTGCCCATGAAAACTTATCCAGATTTTTTTCTTCAAATCAAAAGTTCAAATTCAGCCCTTCCTGACCATCCTCTCCAAATTCTCTCTAGATTGGGCCTGACAACCAATTGTGCACTTTAGTTTTTCATCCTTCTGTTCCTTTTTAAAAAATCAATCTATCTATTTTTTTTCACTTTAAAATGTACTTTACACTGTGCCTCTACAGGTTCTGTCTTTAGATGAAACCTCCTGGAGAGCAGGAGCTGTCGTGTGTCTTTGGATGCCCAGAGCAGTGCACAGCCCCTAGGGGATCCTATCTAAGGATCAGGGCCCCTCCTGAGCAAGCCAGCAGACAGGGCATGAAGAGGGACATGGGACCAGAGCCAAGCGCTAGTTACAGGAAGGGGCTGGAAGATCAAGTCCAGGGCCTTGGAAATGCCAGATGATGCACCAGGACAGCTCAGGTAATAGTTACTGGGCTTCTGAAAAGTTACAGTGAGACTCTAATCAGGGGTGCCGAGCACAGCAGTGAGGAAGTCCAGGTTAGCTGCCATCTTGAGTCGGGCAGGCATAGGATCCCCTGGGAGGCATCTGCATGCAGGAAAGCAGACCACCACCAAGCCAGGGGACAGAACCTAGACCCTGAGACCAAAGTGAGACAGAGGTAAATGGGGTGAACAGCCAACAGCAGAACCCAGTCCCAGGAAATGGGTCACTGAGGAGCAGACTGAGGGAAAGATCACCACTGGGTCCCAATCCCAGCGATGGGTGAGTTCATGCTATGTTTCAACGTCTGCTCTGCACCAGGAGCCGCTTGAAAAATGAACGCCAATGAGCCTTTGGGTAGCTTTTCCTCCACTGTCTCCCAGCCTAGAAAGAGTAGAGGAAAGGAAGCTACACTGACTTGGCTGGATGTGTGGATGTAGATGGTCGTTCCCTGTAGAAGGTCCCTGCCCTGTAGAAGGTCGTTTTAATTCTGACCTTCTCAAGACCACCTCCCACTATTCCTGTCCCAGGCCCTCAGGGACTATAGTGTACAGTCATTGCTGCTCCTGCCTCTCGGGGAATGCGGCCCACCCTGTGTGGTTTCAGACTATCTCGGCCTGGTCACCTTGCTTCTGCTGGGAAATTCAGTCCCATTTCTGTTTTATCCACCCGCCTAAGCCTTTTATTGTAGACGAATTGTTCGCCCGCAAGGTGCTTCTCTGACAGCCACCGGGTGATGTCTTCTCTTCTGCGTGGTTCCTGCTGGGAAGCCAAGAGCATTTATCCTCACTTGGAAGGACTGGGACTGCTCTAACTGCATAGCATCTACTGTTGTGCTTTCTGGGCAAGGAACTTGGGTTTCCCATCCCCCTGCCCCCTCCCTGGGGCACATCTCTTACTGGAAGGGTTTCTGGCCCCACAGTATCTATCACAATGGAGCAGCCTTGTTGGCTAAGAGTTTGTGCTTCAGAACAGCTTCAATCCAATCTACAAATTACAGGAGGAAAAAAAAAATCACATGAAAAGCCAGGGCCTACCAAAGTATTAAGGGTGTTTAAGACCAAACCATCCCAAAACATTGGGATATATTGATTGAGTGTAGCAATGGCTTATTGATTTTTCTACTAAAACACAACCACAACAGAAAAGACGACAACAAGAAACTTGTCTTTCTTCCCCAGTCTGGTCCTCATTCCTTTTGCTAAACTCAGCCTTATCTTCATAAGGAAAAGGTTTCAGCTTTGCAGCTTGGCTAATTGAAGTCTCACTGGTTGGGAGGCCCTTGGCTCATTAATCAAAAGCTGAGCACGAATGCTTTGCAGTCCACAGCACCTCCCCCACGCAGCCCCTGTGCCCTAGCAGAGGTGACAGTCCCTGCAAAGAGCAGAGAAAGAGGGAGCATTGACGGATAGGTAGCTTTAATCAAAAATAAGGCTGCCCAAATGCAACCTGACGAGAAGGCTACTCAAGTAAGATGATGAAATATTTGTAAGAACAAAACAAGCAAGTATTCCAAATGTTCGAATAACAGCTCATTGTTAGTTGTCTCCGTACTTTCTTAAGAGAGGCAAACGTTGGCTAGAGACTAACTGGATTAAAAAGGGGGGTCCCACACTTGCTTTTGTCCCCACCTCCAGCAGCTCCCCCTACCCTCGGCCTTCACTATTGTGAACGTCGTGTCCGATGCCGATACCGCAACTGCAACCCGCGGTCACTGACATTCTGCAACAGCAATTCTTGCCTCGGCTTTTACAGCCTGAATCACAACACATGCTTTCTTCATCAGATGTGGAGGGAAGAAAATAGCTCCTTTTGTCTCTGGGGCATAACAAGTCCCAGGCAGCCCACTTTCCAGTAATACCGCACCTACTTAACCCAATATTGCAGACAACGAAATGAGCGTGCTCCATACGGGGCACTGTGATAAAGTATGCGGAGAGTAAGTAGGAGAAATTACACTTAGAGCATCTACTCTGTGCCAAGCCCATCGCGCATTCAGATATGGTGAAATGTAAGATTTTTCAGTCACTTTACAAAAGAAGTGTTTTCACAAGAGAACCGAGAAGAGCCGTGGCCTGGGAGCCACAAGGCCGGGGCTTAATTTCAGGCCCCCATCTCTGTACCCACCTAAGTGATCCCGGACAAGTCATTTGACCTCCCCTGACTGCGTTTTCTCACCTGGGACGTGGGGCAGGCAAACGAACTAGCACACGTGAAAATGTCTCATGGGCGGATAAACCCTATGAAATCATCGCGGGCACCCAACAAACGCTGGCACCCTTTCCCTGTCTTCATTTCCCCTCCCAAACACTATATAAATAGAACATTATTATAAGTTACATCACCTTTAAGGTGTCTTAAAGCACCGAGAGCTCCCCGTGCAAGAAACAATGGGGTAAATCTCTCCCTTTCCTTTGCTTTCTACCTCGGTTCACACTGATCTGTGTCCGGACGTCGGTCTTCACTAGTTCAAGGCACTAATAGTGCTTTCATTCGAAAGTCGCAAGAGGTGTTGTACCATTGCCTGGGTGCTATCATTCCTAAATTTAGAATGCGGGCACCTAATCCCAAGTTTCAGTTATGTACACCCCGCCAACCCCCCCCCCCCACCATCTACCACAACGATGCTATTTTCTTGGGGTTGGAAATTTCCCTACCAGAGCATTTTGTTTTAATTTTTAAAAAATCAGACCCACTGTACTAGTTTACAGCTTTTCACCAAGTTCTCAGATTATAGACAGCCTAGAACGAGAGTCCCCAGTGATGGTGATTGCAATCTTTCTCAAATTAACTGCTTAGTTGGCAATAGGAGGCATTGTGTTACCGTGGTCTGAAAGACACTACATAGCATGCAGTCCTTATATTAAAGGTGTGTGAGTGTAATTACATAAACGATGTTATAAGAAAGAGAAGTAATGTTGACCCCTGGAAAACAGTAGAACATTTGAAGCCCAGTTTGGGATTAAAACCATCTAAAGAAATAGGGCACCAGCAGGCCTGGGTGACTATCAGAAGTTTATGCAAGACAAAATAGCAAATTCCCAGGCATGCCCCCCAAGGCAGTTTTGATTTCAGCCAGACTTGAAACCCACATCACGGGAACACCAAGTCAATCTCAGCTCTAATTTCAAGTTGCCAGTGAGCGCCTTGGCACTTCTGTGGACCCCCTGAAACGATCTCTGGGACCCTTCCGGGCAGGTGGCTCCACAGGAAAATCCATACCGCAAGCTCCGCCCATCGTGGCTCAGTCTGTGTCGGGCAGGCAGCCATCTTGAGAAGCTGTGTTTGACAGGGACCTGCTGCCGTCTCCGGGCCAAATGGTCTCTTGTGACTCGGAATCTCAAACTTGCTTTAAACGGAGGGGGAAAAGTCACTTTTGGGGATGAAGTTCTTGGCACACTCTGCTTTGTGTAAACACAGTCTATGGCTATTTCGGTCTTCTGGGTTTTGAGAAGCCGGGCAATGGCAAGGGTGAACGGGTTGGTGCTGGCCTAAATTACAAAGAAGAGTTTTTTTCATTCTTTCAGTGCTAGGGGAAGGAAAACTGAGAACATCGTCTCATAGGGAGCAGAATGGGACTGGGTTGGCCAACAGGGAAATAAATGTGGGCCTCAGTTTACAAAGAACCAGCTCTACCAAAGTTTGAACTTGTGAAAATGGATACATTGGGTTCGTAGTAAGAATTCTTACCCTCTACAGTTTTGGTCATGTTTACGCATGATGCTTAGTATATTGAAAGTATTAATGTAAGTCATTAAAGGTCAATGTGCCTTTTTTTTTTTTTTTTTTTTTTTTTTTTGAGGAGGCATACACCCATCACATGAAGCCAGCTTCATGGCCGTGAGTGCTGTCCTCATGGTCAAATGAAGGGGGTGCCAGCCCACCCCCCGCTTCCTGCTACCCACTGTCTTTTGAATCCACCTCAGAAATCTGTAAGTCTTACCTGCCACATGGATTTACTTCTTTGTTGAACATTCACCTGACTAAGACAAAAGTCTAACATATTACTCTTGTCATTACTGGGACAATAGTGACTGAAGGAGAGGCTGTGGATGTAAAAATAAGAGAGAAAAGCAGTTTTGGGGGAGAAATAGTGCAGTGTTTTGAGAGTCAGCATAGTACAACTTCCTCTGTTGCATTCTTAAGCTCCCTTTGTGTCCCTCAAATTCTAGCATGTCTGTAAAAGCACAGGAGGCCATGCTGCATAACCAGATCACCTTTTTCCAAGGGAAGCTGTCATTGCATACAGCAGTTCTTTCCCTCCTATGTCCATTCTGTAATATTCCATGAGGGCTCCAGGCTCAGCTCCAGACAGTGGAGGAAACAAGGGTGGACACATGATCCTCCCTCTCAGGGTGCCTGTGGTCTACGGAGAGGACAGGAAAGTCAACAATTGTAGTAGAACGTGGTAAGCTCCGTGACACAAGAACTCACGCAAGGCCAGGAGAGTTTAGTGTAAGGCACGAAAGCCACCCTCGGAGTCAGGCTTTTCAAAAAGGGTGGCCCTCTCATTTGGATCTTGGAGGACAAAATGGAGTGGGAAACAGAGGGAGTCGTTCCTAGCAAGTAAGGAATGAACCCGTGCAAAGGCCCAGGGGCTGGTGAACCTCAGGTATGTGCTGGGGTTGCCTCCCCCTCCAGTCTGTCGGGGCACATCGAAATCAGCCTCACATTTCATGGTGGCCAGTTGGCTCTGCAAACCCCATTCCCCAGGTTCCGTGCAGGAAAACCATGCCTGGTTTTCTTCTTACTCTGTTTAAACCAAGGATGAACCGGGGCGCCTGGGTGGCGCAGTCGGTTAAGCGTCCGACTTCAACCAGGTCACGATCTCACGGTCCGTGAGTTCGAGCCCTGCGTCGGGCTCTGGGCTGATGGCTCAGAGCCTGGAGCCTGTTTCCGATTCTGTGTCTCCCTCTCTCTCTGCCCCTCCCCCGTTCATGCTCTGTCTCTCTCTGTCCCAAAAATAAATAAACGTTGAAAAAAAATAAAAAAAAAAAAAAATCAAGGATGAACCAAGGAAGAGCCAGTAAATAATGAACCAGCGGCTTTCCTGTTAGAGCTCCTATGTTTGGCCTGGCTGAATATCGAAAAGCCTTGGTTTCTCAATTGTCTGATTCTCTTTGTTTTCAAGACTTAACACAGCATTACAGTGGGATGGCTAAACAGAAAAAAAAAGTCTATTTCTTTCTCATTGTGCAAATAAACATTTGTTGAACCTGAATCATTAAGAATAACCAAATGCTTTGGAAGTCTTTGCAAACAAGTCTTACATGATGCAATTCAGTGTTTTTTTTTTTTTAATTGAAGAATTGTTTTTAACAAGGAAATGTTGTACAGTATTAAAATAAAGTGTTTTCCCTACCACCACCACCCCCCCACACACACACACATACACACACACAATGCAGAAAATAAATGGATCACTACAGACCCACGAGGCTGGCTTTCACAACATCCATCATTGAAGGGTCGGTATCTTATGCTGTATCAGGACACTGCCATAGTAGCTAAGGGTACCTGGGAGATTTTGCAAATCAAATGCAGCAGAGGTGGTGGGAGAAACTGAAACAAAAATGAAGACCTTGGAACTGCATTTCTACAATCAATTAACGGCTGGGAAGGACTTGACTTGCTGGGGCTAAAGAAAATCATTCGGGAAGTTCATTTTGTCTGTGAACTCAAAACTGTATTTTAGTAAATAAAGCTGATGCCGTTCAAACATGAACCCCGTGACATTTCCTGGCTTACAGCAGCTTTTCTGCTTGTCTACTCATTAGATGTGTTAAAAATACAAACATGGCATTTCCACTTTGCCAGAGAAGCAAATGTGGGCTGAATGGCTGATTTTCGCTGCTACGCTTTTCCTGTAACCCTTACAACTGTTGCGGTGAATAAGGCCCCTGTAGGGATATTTGCCAACTATGCAGTGTTCGTGGACCATGCCACCTTCTCCAGGTTTCAGTACTCGGTTGAGGTGATATCACCACCTTTCCCTCCATGTAACAAACAAAATTCATCTGAACCTCGCTGAGAGTTTGATATGTGTTCTTTGCTCTCAAAGAGAGAATTCTCTCCTAAGTCAGATAAATATGTTCATGCGTGTGAATTGTTATACTTGAACTTGCTGCTGCATTCTGTACTAATGCATATATATGACACCCAAGCTGACTGTGATTGCTTCTGAAGCATCTAATTCCTTTTAAATGGATTCAGTATCTTTGGAATGTGCTGTTTAGGTGTTTCTGAATTTTCTACATGCCATTTTAACAGGTTCATTTGTTTTATGGTACGATGTGGTGAACAATCACATTGGTTCTTTTTTTTTTTTTTGAAGAAAACAAATGTACATATGACTAGGCAGATGAATAAATTATTGAAAAAATATACTTTATGAATCATACAGCCCACTGTTTAAAAGGAATTTATTTCATTTGTTTAATAAAGTGGCTGTTCAAGTCATAAGCATTTATATTGCCCTTCTGAATATGGATGCCATAATATTTAAGTGTCGTTGAATATTGATGTATGTTCCCTAATAAAATATCTTAAACCTCTGGCTGTAGATGCACAATGCCTTAGTTCTTCGATCGTAATGTGTTGTTAACATGTTGGCTGAAAAGTAGAGTGGATACCTCAGAGAAGGAGTCAGGTTTTGACCAGCTCAAGAGCGTAGGTGGTCCATAAAATACACTGGTTGGCGGCATTCACGGCACAGGTAAGAGCCCAAATAGAACCACATCATCTGGTGTAGAGGCAGGGGAAGGTAGTAGTGAAAATGAGACCCAGAAGAATATTGAATCGACGTCTGTAAGGCTGGGCGTATTAAGTGACCCAAAGCCAGGGCAATAGGTTACGGGGAACTAGCCGTCAGAGAAGGTCATGGGCAAGAATGGTTCAAGGGGAGTTTTTCAGTGGAAATTCTTGCCTGCCCATGCTCTCACAGCCTGGGAGCCCCAGGGCTACACTTTTAGCCCCATTCCCTCAAGGTAGCACGCTGGCATCACTGGGGCAAGAAGGCTGGGGTCAAACTGTCACAGGCTCCAGATTCCTTTAGCCACTTGCCAAAGCCGTTACTTAATATGTCTGAATCTTTGTTTCCTCTTCTCAAAAATGGGGACAATTACTGTACTTCACTCAGATTATTGCTAGCATAATAAAATAAAATGCTTCCTGTGAAATGTTTGGAAGAATGTCCGACATCCGGTGAGCACCCAGCAATTTTCATTGTGACCGCTCAGGAGTGTGACTGTGGCCTTCCTGGTGATGAGGGCTCATTATTTTTTTGCCCAAAGCCCTTAGCATCTAAGTCAAATGATAGTGCCGCGTCTCCTATACCGATCTGGGTTTTTGCCAAATGGTGTCGTATCCTGCAGATGCTCTGCTGGTCACATTCCAGGCCCCCCGTCGTCGTCATGGTGGTGGCTCTACTCCCTGAACCCCCACAGAGGGTGGGCAGGGGAGGGCAGACACAGGACGGGGGAGGGGGAGCATCGTAAAGTAAATGAAAGTTTGTCGTTGCTCAGGCTTTCTTTTCACAGACCTTGGAAGTGACATGACTAGTTTGTAGACCAGGATCACCAGGTCTAAATTAGTTAACTAATTTAGGTTTTGCCCCAGGATATAGATTATGGAAGAGAGAGAAAATGGAGACATGGTCAGTTTTGTCACTGATTGCTTTCTATGAAGGTGGGGGAATAATGTGAAATAAAGGGGCCACGATGACACGAGGGCTTTGTCTCTGTTTACATTGTTCCACGGCTAACATTTACTATGGAAAGCCCTATTCTAACTGGTTCCAGTACATCATCTCATCTAATCCTCATAACAATCCTGTAAGGAAGCGCTGGGAATCGATTAGGGTCCATTTGGCTGGAACAGAATACCCGGAGAAAAGTAGCTGACGCAGTAAGAAAATGGATACTATCGTCAATAATTTGGCATGAAAACATTCATCTTCGCCAAAACGCTCTGGAATCAAACCACCTGGGTTTGAATCATAGCCAGGGGGATATGTCAGTAAATGTTTAGCAACCACATCTCCGGGAAAAAAAATTAAAACGAAAAAAACACCATGTGCAGTATTTGCCAGTTTCTGTGGTGTAAATTCTCCCACGCGGACAGATATCAAGCCGCCAAAATGACACCATGGAATATAGTTTTGGGAACAGACGTACACGGTTGTCTCTTTGGAGCCTGTACAAGCCACACCACGGATCCCACCTCTGCCCTTAGTAGTGTGTAGCCTAAGCCTCTCTCTGTGTTCGTCTCCTCATCTGTAAAATGGGATAATGAGAGCACTTTCTTCATTGGATTGATACGCATAAAAAATTTCTGTGCTTAGCATACGGTAGTGCTTAGCGCACAGAGCAGAGACCGTCTCCAAAGAGCAAAAGTGTTCATCCTTACTCAATTCCTAGTGCAGCAACTCCTCTGAAGCGTGTGTGGCAGTATTGTGATCCTTTTTCAGACATTATATTGCATTGACTCTGCCCCCTGCGATCCCCCATTGAATTCGCTCGTCTCGGTTTCTGACTGCAAAGTCTCTCACCGCAACTCTGCCCTTTTGCATTTTTACTTCAACCATTTAATGATCCCATGAACCAGTTTTCTCAAAGAGCCTCTTCATGCCATACCGTTCTGCCAGCCAATTATTAGTATCTCCCCTGTTTATAAATGCAAATTGCCTCCAACAGAGTTTATGAAAAATAATTATTCTGTTGTAGGTGGACAGAAAAACCACTCTCCGTGCCCACTCTCCACACTGTTATTATGTTCTCATCCATATTCTCTTTCAAAAATAATATATGTACATGACAAACTGAATACACAAAAGCACTACAAAATCAGGGGATTGGGATGAGTTTGGGGCTCCTGAAAACTACCACAGGCCACTCTGTAGTTCTTTTCTGAGGGAACAAAGCCCAGAAAAACAAGAACCAAATGGGAAACAAAGTATAACGTATTAATCCCAAAGTTTTCTTACACTATCTTGCTTGCATCTAAAATGTCCAGATTTGGGGCATCTGGGTGGCTCAGTCGATTAAGCATCTGACTCTTGATTTCAGCTCAGGTCATGATCTCACAGTTTGCAAGTTCAGGCCCCACATCGGGCTCTGTACCTAGCACGAAGATTGCTTTGGATTCTCTCTCTTTCTCTCTCTCTCTCTCCCTCAAAAATAAATAAATACACTTCAAGAAATAAATACACTTCAAGAAATAAATAAATAAATAAATAAATAAATAAATAAATAAAATGTCCAGATTTGAAGAACAAACTCCAATGTCCACTTCCATCCAGCCCCATGAGCAAGGAAGGCACTGGTAGGAAAGCTGAAATTGAAAGTATAATTATGGCCACACCTACTTCTCCAAGTGAGGCCAGGATCACAAGGCAATGGGGATGGAAACCGGAAGAGGAAGGGCCAAATCCTGCTCCCTAAGAATGCAAGGTCCCAGAGTGTACATTTCTCCTCAGCGTGGTAGAGGTGGCGGTCATAAGGGCAATGGACAACAGTGAAAAGGAAAGCTGAAGTCTCTTCCTTTCTATGAGTAAAGGTAAAAATGCAAGAAGAGAAGCACTATCCTCCTCATAGGTATACCATAGCTGGGTATAAATTGAAAAGTAATATTTTCGCCTTCTTTCCTACTCCCCCAAGCTAACCACCACTACCATTTTCTTGTGAATCCATTCATTCAACATGTATCTATTGAATATGTGTCATATGCCAGGCATCATCCCAGGGATACATTAATAAAACAAAGCAGGGGAAAAAGGCTTGCCTCATGAAACTCCCATTCTAGAGCATCTTCCAGAAATGTTCTATGTACAAGCAAACATCTGGATCTTTTAAATATGTTTATAAAAGCAGAATAAGCCACAAAGTCTGATCTGTTACAGTAGATGCATTTTTAATAGTTTGGTGATTTAGCAGTTGGTTGATGCCTGATTATCTTAGATCTCTGCGCTTTTGCCTTAGCAAACAACTCACAAAGTTAATTAAGTAAAATCCCGTCTCTTGCCCTTTGGAAAGTTACAGTGTGATATCATGTGTCCTAAAAGATTTTGAGAGCTTATTTTAGAGCTTCTAGCATTTTTAGGGGCCCATAAACTTATTTCAACAGTGTTGTCACTGCTTAAAATATTTTTGGAACTCTTCAGAGATTGCCTTTGGGGTCAATTTATGTACAGTTCCTCCCCTAAAAAATCCTGTGTATTACCACAAATAGTACTAGACTGGACCATGAAAGGTCTTTCTCCAACACGGAAGGTGAGCCTTTCAGCTGGGAGACAACTTCAGAGGTCGGCACTGTTTGACTCTGTGTGTGACTGGTGCCAACGCCTTGGCCAGACTCCTCTGTCATCCTGTTGGCCCAACCCGAGCTGGGAGAGTCAAACCACTATAAAAAGCCATTCTGCATAAATTCAGTGGAAAAAATTAGGTCAATGGTTTTCAAACTGGAAAAAAACAAAACAAAACAGTGCAATCCTTTCTTTGGATGGAATCTTACACAGAAGCCCA